TGGTAGGGCTGTAGATAACGAGCATTATGAAAGTTAGAAATGTGTTTGTCTGAAGACCTCTATACTGCAGTTAATACATGAAATAATAGACACATTCTACTACCATAACTGAGACCACGACCTTATACAAGTAAGGATAACATAAAATGCTTCTGAAAGTTCGGAGGGGTGAGACAAAATGCATTCGCACCGAAGCGATTCCATAGCGAACTTTAAAAATGTATGGAACTGACGCGCGACAAACACGTGTCTTATCGAAAGTTATTTTCAGTTTAATATATTTTTGAAGTTCGTTATGGAATCGCTTCCCGTCCGAATCGTAACCCAGTTTGTGTTGATTTGTTGATGGTAAAGTATTTATATCAGTAATTGTTTCAGTACTAAGGACTTCTATAAATATTTACCAATCTGGCGGGAACTTGCGCACCGCCGAGATGAGCAGGTCGTGGGATGATCTGTGTCTGCGCCTGCGCTGGCTGCTGCGCACCGATGTACTCTCTTAGTAGGTGGGGAGGGATACCTTCATCCTGCTAATGGGAAGCAACTTTATTGATCTACATACTATGATTGTCAGTCATGATATCTCGCTTTCTTTGCTGTACTTTTGTATGTACAGCACTACTAGTTTGTACTAGAAACACGGCAAGAATATTTGATAATAATTTAATAGTAGATTTGGGGGGGAGGTATGTCCAGGAAGAGGGAATATGCGTCCTCTCCTGCGTCTATTTAAGATAGGCACGAATCCGCAAATGCGCATGTCTATATCACTTCGTTATTTTGACGAATTCAGGTAGCCGTTTACTGGTTGGCCATAAAAAAAAGAATGGAATTGTTTATGTGTAAAATCAACATTTTATAAACAAGTCAATCTGTTTACATATAAATCATCAATCATTAACCCGGTGTACGCGATTGCGTTGTAACGACTTGCAGCTGGCACTTTAACTTACACAAAAAGTATTTTAGAAAGTTATAATGTGCGATTAAATAAGGATTAATTATTATGAAATGGTAAATGGGAACAGAGAATTAAAGACTGATCCGCTAGTGCTGTTTAAAGAAGTACATAATGTTTACAGTACACGTTTTTATTTACAACTAGCAAAAAGCAATGCTTTAAGAGGGCTCGCGAAGCTTTTTACCTTTGTATTATTTGTAAAATGTTATATATATATATGTATATATTTTGATGATGGAATATATATCTTATTAGTTTTATAATTTTTCTATTAGATGGCGTTAAAATATTGGAACTTGAATGAAACATGTTCATAACAATAGGAGCTTTCAACTCTGAAAACACGGAAATAGTATTGAAAGCTTAATTCGCATTCACTGCACATTATGCAAAATGTAAATATTATCTCGTTGCAGACCGAATAATCGGTTCAATCGAACCGACAACCAGACAAAATGGCGCAACGTTGCAACATCACCGAAAAACCGT